TTGCAATTTTCAATGTCGATATGGAAAACAAAGAAAATATTGATATTTTTGAAGAATTTCCAATAAAAGATGAAGCGAACCTACAATTAATAGACACAAAATTAAAAAATGATACGAGATATAGAAACGAAATGGTAAGTCTAATGTTTGTCATTCAAAAAATATTACAAAGTATCTTTGATGAAAAGTTTTAACAAATGTATTTTTTATTGAAACATTGTTATTTAAAATTGTAGATTTTACGTTAATATCTTTTTTATTCCGAGACGTCTTTTATAAAGAATAGTTGTTTTAAAAATAAAATTATATTTTGATATATTGTGTGATTTTTGAAATAACATAATTATATATAAAATATTTAAATAACAAAATAACATTAATTTGAAATAATTGCAGATAAAGCAGTTGTCACGTCTAACACGTGACGATTTAAAAGCAACTTGTATAGGACTCATGAGAGCAATAATATCAAATGAACTTGCTGTAAACTACAGCTGGTTTGGAGCAAAAAAGAAACAAATTTTCTCACAACTAGAGATATGCAAAGTCATTTTGAGTAAGTAAAATACTTAAAATTGATGTTTATTGTCTTAAATAATTTATTATTCTTTATAATTCCATGCATTTGTAAATATCGATAATATTTATTCTTACAATTTATTAAATGTATTTACAAATATTAATAATTTTCTACTATCTCTTGTATTATATAAATAAGCATATAGTGACTTTTTTCACATTTAAATTATATCATATAAATATTCTCATTTAGTTTAATAATTAATAAAGAAATGTTATAATAAATAATGTTATTCTCTCTTTCAGGTGTAATTCGAAAGTCACATATAGATGCAACAGACGAGAAAATCTCTGCTCCAATTAAAGTATGGCTAGCTCATGCAAAAGAACGGCTCGGAAGACGAGCTGAAAACGTAGTTGAAAATATAGCTCAAAACGTAGTTGAAAACGTAGCTGAAAACATAGCTGAAAACTGAATATCAACCTGACAAGCAGATGTATGTACGTGTAACATTTACGGTACTTCAGCATGAATACGTGACTCTAAATCGAAAAAAGGCCTAAAGTAAATCATCCTATACATCCAGGAAGAGTAATTAGGATGGCTATGCGACGTAATATCTACAAGTATATTTTTTCGGAAAAATTAGATTTAATTGAAAAATTTAAATGAGTACAATGTGTCAGAGGCGCAAATCAAATCATCAGTTATGTATTCCGCGAAGATGTCACACATTCTCGATATAATCACGTAATGTTAGAATGTACTCATAACGTTTGTAACCGATGGATTACATATTAACGGTCGCTTTTAAATCGTCACATCTTAGACAATTCCTTTATCTGTAATTATTTCAAATTAACATTTTATTTTTCAAATATGCGTATGGCGAATTATATCAACTGTTCTGACCGTAAATTCCAAGACCGTACATATTATATTTGGTACGTCATCCGATACTAAGGCTGGGAGCACATGAAATGCATAAGCATAAGACCGCTAGACCAATGATTATCTAGCATAAAATCGCCATACTGATTTACATATAAGATTCTCATCGATCTAGCTACCTTATGCTGTGCTTATGCTTTGTTATACATTTCATGTGCTCCCGGCCTAACTCGCGATCTACTCGTATGATGCACTGGAAAAAAATTAAAAGAATAACATTTGTCAAATTCATACCTAAGTTGTCCGTTTGTACATTACTGTACAATTTTGAATGTATTTAATTGATAATTACAAAGTCATAATTAATAGTGTATCTTTATATATACTCACTGGCAAAAAACCGGGCACCTATATTAAAATCTAGCTGGTGCCTGGTTGTTTTGCCGATGAGTATGTATATATATACATATATATACATAATTTTTTTCGTGTATGCAGTATACCTCCATAAATTTCATGGCTTTATAATGAATAGTTTATTTTTATAAGATTTACATTTATATATTATATATATGTTATTGATATCTTTATGAAATTCCTTTTTGTTTAAATATTCTTGCTGTGATGTTAATTTGTATCTTAGATTGTAAGCGTGACATTAGCTTACACGTTAGAGGAAATGTTAAAATATATTCGTATATATTCTGTTTTGGAAAAATGTAAATGCGTTTCAAGACGCGAAAAATGTACGCAAATTATTTGCTATTTTTTGTTTATTTAAATTTACGGTTAAATTTGCATATATAAAATTTTTATATATATTGTGCGTGTAAACGAGTGATTAAGAATTTGAATAATATAAATAAATATTTCTTTAAGGCAATAAAAAGTATAAATTATTAAAACCTAGCCTAACCTAACCTAACCTAACCTACAATATATAAGCGCGCGCCAAGCTGCGTATATTGTGCGTATATATGCAGACTATTCTGAACATATATTGACGACATCGAATGAATATACTACAAAATATTCTCAGAATGTTGTATGAACTAAAGCAGAAGACGGCATACGAACATCAATAGTAAGTACACAGTATATCATAGTACGTATCTCGAATGATCTTAGTATATACGTAATATACTATGACGATGTTCTGTGAAAGATCTCAGAATGTACTTGTGCTATCTGGGTTATGGAAACTTTAATTAAATTTTTTGTATATTTCAAAGTGGAAAGTACTCTTTTAGTAAAAAATCATATCTTATTAACTTGAAATTAGCTTGTATAAGAGGAGAAATGAAAAAATCTGTTACTATTTGCCCTCCCCTTTTCCTTACTAATTTTATAACAAGCTTACGAAAGATTTGTAAATGAAAAAGTTACGTGGCTTTAAAGTCCTCAATTCTAATCACAAAATTATTTAATTTCTACGATTATTGAAGATTGATTTGAGCATTAACATCTGATTAAACGAAAGATTTAAAAAACAGTTCAAATAGCACCGTTCTTTTCGATGTAGTTTTAATGTTAAATCGATAATAAAGTTTATGAACATCGCGGTCGACAATCGCTATGCAGCGCGTTTTATCATGCAGAAATCCAAGAAAGGTGCTCAGTGTCAGGTAGTTTGATGCTCTCATGCATCTTCGATGAAGCTTGCAAGATGCCTCGGGACTTCGCCCGTCTCTCTCTGTCCCGCCCCCGTAATAAAATTTGGATCGATCTCTTTATGACAGTTGAAACGACATTGTCGTCTTTAAATTATAAATCGAAATTTCGAATACAGATGGTTGCATAACCTATGCGATTAAAATATTTATGATATATCGTAGATGACGAGCCGAAAATTTATACCAGTTATGCCATTATTGAAGATATAAATGATATACCACGTACCAAACTGGCAAATATAGATAGGATACTATAACTTCAAATGGGAGTATTAACTTCCTGTTTACGAGTTATGTAAATAATATCTACAATTTTTACTCTTCCGACAAGTCGGAATATATTTTTATGGACAGTCAATTGCGATAATTTTAACCTTTTTCAAATATAATTTTAATTTTATTTCTCGTTATGCATGTAATAAAAATAGTCACGCAATACTATGCAGTATATTCGCAAATACTATAATAATATTAAAAGTCTGAAACTACATAAATTATTAAAATGCCACCTGCGGTCTAAAATGGATTTTGGTGCTTATATGGTAATTGTGTGAACCTATTTATAATTTCCAGTTCAGATAAACTGCGCGCCGAATATTTGTCAATCTTGAAACACAGCTCCAAATTGAATCTAGACTACATAATACCATGAATTAAATTGACAAGCAATTTAATAATTTTTATGCCAATGAGCATCTTATTAAATTCTGTAGAATAACTTATTGCGAAAAATAGATTACCTCAGCCAGAAATTAAACCCGGAGCTCCGTACTCTCTAAGCGGGCGTCTTACAGTTCGAGACAAGATTTATCACAATAATTGGTAAATATGGAAAGAAACGTTATTTTTTAGACCGCATATGGCATTCTAATAATTTATGTAGTTTGAACTTTCGTGGTCTCATTAGATTTAGATTATATTTAGAATTAGATTTCATATTAATGTTTAAAAGTCTTAAAATGAATGACATTGCAATTGCACATCTGCATCAACGTCCTCAAAGTGCGCAAAGTGTTGGCAATGTTAGAATGTTAGATAGTCTTGTTCGAGGGGTTGACACATTAAGGCATCGCGCCTTATCTTACAATGAAGACGACAATATTGAGCAAACTGGTAGACCGCCATTTCGGCTCCCATCGACTTTGGTCGATCGAGCACCGAAATGTAATGATTCCTCGTCATATCTGTTCCGGAATCTGGGACAAATCTTCTAGGGTTCCCCTAAATGTACAGGAATACAACGTTATTGGACGATGTCACCTGCACACTTGACCAAAAATCGATTTTAAGACAAAAATATACTTAAAAATTTATTGTACAGAAATCCAAGAAAGATTTTCTTTTTACTGATAATAATAATTATAAAGATAACTTTTAACTTAATAAATGCGCAAGTGAAAAGTTCGATTGTCCGAAGAAAGATTTTGAAATAATCTATTTTATTTATATAAATTTTGTGTCTATCATAGCTATAATATTCTTATTGTTATTCGATCACGTAAACACTAGACTAGGATTAAGAGTTGTCATATGAGTAGAAAATTTTCAGTTTTATTATTAAAAAAAACCAGTATTCGCATTAACCCCGTATCCTTATATAGGAAAGATCCAACAAATTTTAAAAAGAAAATAAAATTGTTAGGTATAAGGTCTCTATTTTGATCTCATTGTTACGATTGTAATAAAAATTTCGTAAATTCCTGTAATGGAGATCGACAAGACAATGCAGAAATGCTCTCTGTTTTGTTTTAGAGAGAACTATCGTTCTCTTATTCCTTTGTCTTAAGACTCTCGTATTGTTCGATCTGTCTCGACGCGAGACATTGGACAGACGCAGGTGTTCCATATAGATAGCAAGCATTGGCACAGGGCCAATAAAGGCACCTACACCTCTTCTCTCTCTCTCGCGTACCCCTCATATTTCCTAACGCTATCTTGCCGCGTTCAACTTCGTATCCGAGTATCGATTCCGAAGCTACCGCGACTTTTCATTGAATTTCCATGTGTCACTTACGGGCTTTTCTTTGTCAATTTTTTCTTTCCCCTTCTAACGGATAGATAAAGACAAAAATGTTGTAAAATGTTACAAAAACATAATTGTACAAATAAATAAATATTTTTTTATTTATCAGTAATCAGAGTAATCAGAAATGATAAAACGTATATTTCCTAATTATAAATATATTTTAGAAGAACATGTAACTAATGTATTAATTATTAATATATTAAAGAATATTAATCTTTCTTTGTCGAGAGATTTAAAAGTAACAAAATTTAATATAGATCATGAGTCTACTGATTTAAATTTATATTTTTAGAAAATTTAATAATATGTGTATTTTTTAGTTTACTTGATAACTAAAGAAGTAATAGCGCAAGATGGAAGTAACTGTTCAACTCCTTGTACGTTGCTAGACATGGCACGACAGTCTCTTGATCGTGATTTGTTCTTCAAAGCGCTCGATTTCTCGCATGTCGTCGTGCATGACATCGTAAAAACTACCTCATCGTTTTTGTCGCTGTTCGTTATAGTGAGCACGTTTAGCAGCAACGTTAAACACGAAACCTATCTTGTAAGCCCACGTATGGAAGTAAACGTGGATTTTTTAACGAGCTCCAACTTCTTTACAATTTCGTTCAGTGGTGCAAATCAAGTGTTGAAGCAACTTAACGACGAGGATTCACTCGATGTCGTGACAGCGATAATGATGACCATCTGCGAGAGGGCAACCGAGGGCGTGGAAAGGCAGGAAGGGTTCAGCCGTGGCTCTCTGAATTATTAGGGATTGCGGAAGTGTGAGTTCTCTATCCCCAGATTTCTTGATTTTCTGTCCTCGCGAGTAGGAATTCCAGATTTTTCCACATTCTCGAACGATTGCTCCTTACATGATTAACATTACGCGACTTATAAGAAATTACAAATAATTAAGAGTTCAATTATATAAAAAATTGCTTGGCTAATAGCTATATAAATAAGTTTTTAATGTCGAATGAAAAAGAAAAAAATATATTTAAATTTTTTAAGCTACACGGAAAGAACGATTTTGTTGTAAGATCTAAAAATTTTGCTAAAAACAAATCTGAAAATAATTTTTCGTTGAACCATCAAAATAATTTGTTGGAATGTTAAAACTGATAAGCATTGCTATAAAATGTTTTGATATTCTAGCAAACACTTTGACTTTTGCACAAAATTATTTTGATTATTGAACAAAAATTATTTTTAGATCTCAGCAAAATTGTTCTTTCCGTGTATATGCATCATACCAAAAACTACAAGTAAAAAAATTATTTAATCTTTTATTTATTTCAATTTATATACTTTTATTTATTTTCTACAGTTTTCTGTACTAATTTTTGTATTTTTATTTAAATAAAAATGCCCGTTATACTGACGTAATATTTTTAATTTCAGAAGTTGAAGACCTATCGCACAAAATTTGGATATACAAGCAACGAGACCATATTCATAGATATCGCAGAGAAGCACCCGGTACGTACCCGTTGGGGTAAGATGGTGACATTGAATTATTGTTAACCTGGTAAATGCAGTCCGGCAGCTGTCGTCGCGCTCGTCGCTGAATGCGACAAGGCATTCCGCTAAAATATGCGAATGCATAATTGAAAAACGGCGCGGAGCGCCGAGAAACCACGGCTTTTTCACCGTTTCTCGAACTGCACTCGTAAGATGGGATTAAACTACGCCCGTCAGGGGTAACTTAGCGCCACACTGAATAAAGATCGTATCATCGGTACTTTCTTTCTCAGGAGAGTAATTCGTCAGCTCCATTTACGATATATACACGAGATTCCGAGATCTGTCTTCACTCCGGCACTCCCAAAGTCACCTCTGCCGGTGCAGTTTAATTCTGTTTTGCGATACCTGAGTTTCCCATTTCCATATAAAAGCGATATAAAATAATTAAGCGATATTTTATATGTAAACTAATTATTTTATCTTAATAAAAAAGATAAGTTATTCAAAGAGGTTATAAGTTTCAATGAAAAGGAAAAAAGTTAAAAACATAAAAAATAAATTGATGATAATCAATACTATATAATGCAATAATTCTTAATAATATATTATTGCAAAAAAGAATTTAGATAATTAAGGCAAATTTGCGATACGCTTGCGGCATTTAAAACGGCAGCGACTGATTCGTCTCACTGCAGTTATCTCAAATATCAGTTTGATGAAAATCGAATATTGAATTAAAAAAAAATAATTTAGTTGATTTAATTGTTCAACAGAAAAATTATTCGGCGGTATAAATTAAACACAATTTAAACGTACAATTCTCGATGTATTTTGGGGATATAACCACAATTAATTGAAAGAGCGTAATTGGCTGCACACAGAATCTAAGAGCACGGGATATCGATATCAAATTAGGTCAAATTATCGAACAATCACGGTCGAATAATCACGGGGAAAATTGTACAAAACGGGCAAAAATAATAATCGCATAGACAATGGGTATAGCAAAGTCCCAATTAAAGACAATCGATACCCGTTCTTCCGATAGAAGATATTCGATTGCATCTGCAGGCTGACAAACGACTAGGTGATTCGAATAATGATTTGGGCGAGATATTCGAAGTCGTAAAGTTCTGCACGAGCTTCGAATCGCATAAATCCTCCGCTCGGCGGTATAGATAGCGAGCGCGGAGGGTGTGGGAATGCAAAGAGGGAGGAGGCAGGTAGAAAGTGAAAGATGAGGGAAAGTAAGACGAATGCTGGCCCGGCAAGAGAGAGAAACGAGAGGAACGGCGATTTCGAGTCGCCGGCAAGGCGCGGCGCAAAGACAGCATCGTAGTCCGCCGCTATATTAGCAAAGTTTTATGACGTATGTAGCCGCGACGTGCAGTCATTGGGGGGAAATGCAAGTTTCCATCTCTCTCGCTCCGCGATGCGAGTCCGCCGCCGCGCTACGAGCCCCTTGGGTCTACGGACAAGGTAGATGGGGGGGGTGGGGGGGTGGAATGAGGAGGGTGAGATGACATTGGGGACGAACTGCGCGGGCCGACTGCCAGGGAAACTTATGCGAATCTGAAAATTTTGAAACACATCTCGCGCGGACAAGTTCGCGTATGGTTGGATATCTTCATTAGTCGCTTCACTTAATAAAGCGGACTAAATCCTTCTTGTATTAACGAAAACGTGCACGTCAGTGTCAAGACTTGTTACTAGGACGTATGTACTTAAATATAACAAATATACCGTTTAACATTTGAACAAATTGGATATAAGAGATTAAATTATTTATCTCCTTGCTGATATATACGGACGAGAATTCCGAAGAAATATCGTGGAATTGGGAAGAGGAGAGGAAGAAGACAATCTTCCATTAATGACAATAGTCATCTTGGGTCCATTCAATTCTCTAAACTCGCCTCTTTCTTGGCGATCGTTGCTTAGCGCGATCCTCCGATCTCGCCGGGCGAAGAGCTTCAATCTATTTATCTATATATCTATCGCACAGGTCGCCTAGTCGACCATTTCGTTCGATTCGGAACACGCTATCTCTCCCGCTGGCAATGGCAGAAACGAATTCCCGTAATCCCGTCAGACGTTTTCCGTCGAGCCGTTATTTAAAGCCGTTCAACGGGCATTCGATGAGCGAAGTTATCAGCCATAAAATAACTTCAGTTATATCTCCGTTTCAAGATACGAATACGAATAAAATTTCTTTTTCTTTTAGCTAAATACATTGTCTAATTATTTAAATTAAACGTATACTATTTAATATAGTATATAATTATTAGCAAAACCAATTATGGCAAAAATACTGCTTTAAAATAACAGCTAATATGTGTGTTTACAGATTATTAGTCCGAAATGATATTTTGTTCTACTTCAAATCGATAAAAATATACCGTTTCATTATAATCTATATTTTATAAAATTATAAAAAATATATATATACAGATATAATTCTTTATATAAATATATATAAATATATATACGAATACGTATTTACAGTTTATTAGTCTGAATGATTTGTTCTATCTTAAGAGGTTTTTTCTAGTGCGTTGCACTGTTTTTTAAGAGTTTCTTAATAATTTTTTGAAAAAGTGGATGAATATTTATCAAGATAACTTTTGGGGTTTTATTTATTGAAGTTTAAAAATAAAATATTTATTTTTAATAAGAATATGAATAAATTGACGTATTAAGCGTTCATTTTCCTCCTGCATCATATACATACATCTTTCGTCGGCGACCGTCATTCTAGATCTCCGTGGATTGAACCAAAAAAACATGACGTTATTTTAGTCAAAATACTTGCCATTATCGTTGGAACTAGAATAATTAATTTAACCCAATAGATAAATAAATGAAACTTGTTTAAAAAAGAGATATAATTTTTACTTTTTTAAAATGCTTTCAAAATCCGAAAAATTATAAAAAATTAAATTACCAAAATAATTCTGGTTCCAATGTGAAGTGATGTTTATTTTATAAGCTCGTAAAATTTGAAGCTGATCGGTTCAGTGATTTTCTTTCAAACGTAATCGCCATTTCCGAAAAAGACGTTTCGAGAAAATTGCATTTAAAGTTTGCATTGAGATTTTTATGTACAAGGTGCGTCGCCAAAATCCGGACAAATTTCAAGTTGAAATTCCCTCCGTTCAATACCACTGGTACATGTCGCGATTGGCATTCAAATAGCTTGACGCATGTACTAAACCATCATAACTTCGAAACAGTCGCAATGTTGAAACCAAGTGCGGAGTATAACCGAAGAGCCGCGATTATCGAAAGTGTTCGCGCCGGGCGCTCGGCGACAGAAATCATTCAGTTCTTCGGGTATCCGAGATCGACTGTGTATGATGTCATCGCAAAGTACCATGAGTCGGAGAAGTCCAACGAAGGTTCTGCACAAGTCATTTGGTGCAAAATTGGTTGTCGGACAACGTCGACATGTTTTGGTCGAAAGAATTCTGGCCTCCCAACAGCCCAGATTTGAATCCTTTGGACTTCTACGTATGGGGCGTGGTTGAAAGGGTCACGAACAAGTCCAGACATCCAAACGTCGCATCATTGAGAGCCGCTATTGAAGCGGCATTCACCGATATGGTCCGTGACACATTAAAGCGTGCCTGCGCACGCTTCAGACCGAGAATAGAGGCGGTCATTTAAGCAAGCGGGGGATATATTGAGTGAATATGTTCTTTATGGCCTTACAAACAACGGAGATAAACAAATTTTGTAAACCTTTTCGTTGTAGCAATAAAACATATGTTTGGAAAAAATGTATAATTTGTCCGGATTTTGGCGACGCACCCTGTAGATAACAACAGATTTTGTAACTTACATTAATTGCTTTTCATTTTTACACAAGTGATACTGAGTCTAAAGTTATGTGAGTGTTCTATACTTAGATATTGATGTCATTACTTGCTTACTTTGGTGGCAAAGTTATCGCATAAGTATAGACTTATACCTCACTCTTAATGTGAGTTAACAGAACTCAGTAAAGCACACGAGCTTGTGCAGATTATAGGTAAAAATTCAGTTGAATCTTAGTTATCGAAATAAAAGGAACGTGCATTGAACTGAATTATGACGTCATAAATGAGAATTACCTGAAGTGTTTTGATGTAAATGAAAAGCAATTATTACTTATTGTTAGTCATCGATTTCGGAAGCCATAAAGTGGATCTTTTTCCACTTCATAAATAGCCTCAAAAAAGGGTACTAACAATAGGAAAGGCCGTCCCTACTGGCGACGCCGGCTGTCACACTCAGGTGGGGCGCTAACAGCTGCGCAAAATAACTACTGTAACTTAATTAATATTCGGAATTTTTGTATAAAACTTTACAAAAATTCTATGGATTATATGGATTAAAAAAATTTTAAAAATCGATTTTTTATCCGACACACTAGAAAACCCCTTTAAATCGATTAAAAATATCACTTTATTATCAAAAGGAAAAAAGAATGTCTATTAGAGCCAACGCAGTAATTAGTGCGTAAAGAATACAAACTTAATTAATCAAATAAAACCGCAAATAATACATAAGTTTCGACCCTTGGTTTGGGTTCTCTTCGATACTGAGGTGCAACATCGAATTAATCATTATTTCGCTGTAGGACGGTTTGCAAATCAAAGCAAGTCAGGTATAGTGCAAGCAAGAAGTACAGTAATATAAATAGTTAGAATACTCGATAATTCGCCAAATCTTAGAAAGCTACCTCCGGCCATTATTACGTTGCTGCACTAATATAGTCAATAGATAAAAATACCATTGATAAAATAATGACTGTAAAGGAGTGAACCTAATAAATAATAAAATGGTAAGATGAAATAGTAAAATAAAATGAATGAATCAAAATTGGATGTAGTCAAAAAGTGAAAGTTAATAAATTAAATTAAATGTAGTCAAAAGATAAAATTTATGCAACTTACGTAAAACGGATAGAAAAGGCGTATAACATAATTTAATAAGATGGAGAACAGTGCACGATGTGAACAGTACGAACATTGCGACTAAAGTGCGGTAAGACCAGTAAAAGTATACAAATATATAGAAGTCCCTTATATCAGTAATAAAGATCCTTTCACATTAAGCATTTACAATTTTGAGAGGTCATTAATAATGTTAGAATAGGGTCAAAAAGTTCAGTGTCACTCTGTAGATTTAAGCCATTGCATATTGTCTATTAATGTGTATCATTTCTGCAATTAGCGTTTGTTAAAAGCTTCTTTACCCAAGATAATGACGTTGCCCCAATCGAAATCACATTATTATGTAAAGACAAATAGGTATTTATAGATTATTAGTTTTGAGTAATGTTTTCTCTGTATCAAATCCGTGTATTAACCTCTTTCATAATATCTTTTTTCTCTTCCTCTGTTTTGCTTTGATATCTTTAGAATTTGCTCCTGTCTTAGACTTATTCCAACAAATACCAAATAATATATAACGTTACTGATAGTACACAGTATCCGAAAAGTGTGACAACCCGTTAATATTTCGAAAACTAACAAGCGTTTTTGAGAAAAATGTTTTAGACAAAAGTTGTGGGGCTTAAAATAATCTAATTTAATGATTTTATCCGTTTGACCTTGGATGGCGTCGTCAAGATAAAGATCACATTAACTTTTTTAAATAAAACACCCTATTTTTGATTCAAGAATCTAACAGCTGTCAAGAGCTTTCCAAAGAACTGTAATAAAGTATTTTTTGATTAAGGCGATCCTAAAGTCGTCTGTTTTATCGATCGAACGTAATTATTTTCCATGACAAAATAAACATAATGAAAGACAACAGATTTAAAAATTCTTCTCCACGATTAAAGTATAGGCAATAAATGTAGTTCCAGCTGGTATTATACTTCCTATCAAAAATAGGGTATTCCATTAAAAAAAAATAATGTGACCTTTACCTGACCAATTGGTGACGCCACCCAAAGTCAAACGGATAAAGTCATTAAATAGATTCTTTTAAACCCTACAACTTTTGTCTAAAACATTTTTCTCAAAAACGCTTAATTTCCGAAATATTAAGAGGCTGTCACATTTTTCGGACACCCTGTATAATACATGTGTCATATTATACAATAGTTACATAGGAAATTACAATAAACAGATACGTTATATGTTACATGTTACTCGATGTTTGCTGGGAGACATTGAGAGATAACATTGAAAAATTCTTAGCACAACTTGCAAATCGAAATGGTGTGTAATTTTCCGTCAACGTTGTTTTGCATTGATCGATCGTGACGTTTCCCCTTCGACACCTGTATGTCGCTAAATGCACGTCGTTTTCTGCTCGCGGCACGCATTTTACACAGTCATACAGGTTCCCGGGGCGATTTCCAATCTGTGATCAAGCGCCGGTCCATTTGCAACTTGATGGAGGTATTCTGGATTTGAATTGGCGTGTTGTTCCGTTCTGTTGGCCGATCTGTCTTTTTTTTTTTCGTGCGAATTTTTCGACGTCGAGAATTCGTGATTATAAAAATCCCTCCCGTCGTCCGATATTCGCGGGGAATATGTTCGCTGCAGAAAAAACTTCATTATTGCTTTTCGATGTAATTATATATTCAGTATGTGGGTTAAATATAATCATTTTAGTATTCTTAATTGATTCATCTATTACGCATATACATTTTCTACAAATAGATATTAAATTTTACAGATCACAGCTATTGTAGATAAAAATTAAACCATTTAAGGTAAATATCATCGATTATTAAATATTTTATTAACGGAAAAGAAAATAGATTATATTGATTTTAACTTCTTTTTATTAAAAATTCATGAGAATCTTCTATATACTTGATTCTTGTACTGAAACTTGTTGTTTTAAAGGATTATTTTCTTATAAAATGTAATATTCTTTAAATCTATTAGCTGATCAATCAATTTATGATACAATCATTGGCTTCAATCTTGTATTTCGTAATTTACAAATTAATCTTATTAATTTATAATAATTCTATTCGGTCGGCAATGCCGTATTGTACCTATACCTTAAATTGCAATGCCGCGTATGTAAGTCGATCATGAATCACAGAGTTTTAATCGCCCCGCGCGCACTTTAAGCGAACGTGTTATACGTTCCGGACACGCGTCAGGCTGCATTCTCGCGTGCAATAACCCGGAGGTTGATCGGCGATCTGCGCCTGGCCGCCCGTTAGATCTATCGCGACGCGAAGGGTGAAATTCGGCAAGGAACGAGCGGATTAATCGCGATAATTCCGCCCGAGCGACGCCCGAGATTCGCCGGGAAATTAAAACTTTCGCGAGGACCCGTTATCGCCCTTTCGCACCGACTTCCTGCCGTTTGCACGCACGCGCGTGTATCGAATCGCCGTCGTTCACGCGATCAGCTTTTCTTGTTGTTGGCGAGACTCTTAAAGGCCTTATGAACTTTGCAAGCACAATCCTAACACGTATAATACAAAGACTTGAGAATTCACCTGTGTTAACGCATCATAAATTACAAAATAGCAGTATATACTCGTATAATAAATCCGAAAGAAACATGAGGATTATACGAGAGATGACTCGCGAAATTATAAGACACTGAATATACACAATATGTATGTATATTACGTTAGATTTAGAATATTCAATCACATATATTAAATAAATAATAATTTTAATTAATAAAGGATCTATAATAAATTTCTGCTTAAATGCAAGTCCTCTTATGTATATTATGTATATATATATATATATATATATATATATATATACATAATTTTATAGATATAAAGTTTAATATTTTTAATAATACGGCCATAGTACGTCGCGTTAAGTTAAGAAAAAAAATGTCTTAACGTCGTCTTTCTGAAAAAGTAATGACTGAAAACACTATTTGCTCGGGGCTTTGGAAAAGGTAATAGGTGCAAGAGTAATAAAACTCTGCTTCCCTCGAGCGTGCGTTTCTTTGTCTCGCGCGCGCGGTTTTTCGAAAATTTTTGTGGCTTTATCTAACTCTCGCGCCAGGGCATTCAATTTTCTCCATGCAGTGCGAAAAGGTCCATTCGAGATTCGCTTACCTTGACGCGCAGCAGGTGCTGCAGACTCTGAGCCTGGCTGCTATTTAAGGGTGGATTGTCGGTCCCGAGCCGTGCCACTGCAATCACGTTTTCTCGGGTCGCGTTGTACAAGAAGAGCGTGCATACTGTCTGCAAATGGAAGACGGGGGGGGAGTTGACTCTCGGATAGGTAGATAGGTATACGCCCGGCGCGCGTCATCCGTCGCTACAACCGGTGGTGGCTTTATTAAATTCCGCGCGGCCCGATTTAGTTTTTAATCGACGCGTGGTTTGACGAGCCATTACATTTCTCATTGACATTTCTCATTATCGGGATTTCGCGCGCCGATCGGAGATGCTGCGCATTAATTGCATTCTGGGAATTTCACGGAACGCGCTCTCTTTCTCTCTCTCTCTCTCTCTCGATCTCTCTTCGCTCGTCTCCTTCGCCGACGAAACGAGTAACACGGGATGTAATAAACTCCCTCCGGAATAATCGATTGATTTTAAATTCTTTTCTGGGTCATCGAATTCGTGCAGGCAAATAATGTGCCAAGACAACATCTCTCCCGATTTCGGAATTTAGGCGAAATTTCTATTGAGCCGGTGTGCGCCCGCGCGCGCACGGTGTTAACCAAGGAGCGGCAATTTCGAAGTGTCATCCAGCCGAGATTATAACGATCAATAGGAACAGTGTTGAACGGCAACGCCTCACCTGATTATTGACTTCCTTTCTCATGAAATTGTCGAGAGACGACACCGCGTCCAGCACGGTCACATTGTTGTGCTGCTTCAATAAGGTCTCGTCCTTCTCGCTGTACCCCAGGAACATGAAAACCCCGTGCGGTATACTATATGTGTCTGCGCAAATAACACAATGCTGGTATTATATGGCGAGAAGAGAAATCGTTTTCTGTCGGACCACTCGAAAATCGTCGTATTTCAAGCCCGTAGTTCAGAAGAAAAAAAAAGGAAAGAAAGGCGCTTGTTATAAGTACATTTAATGTCGACTGTAAAAAGTAGACCCTTATTTTATTATATATTTAATATAAAAATGTATGTATTTTCAAATAATTAATTTTTTTATATTTATTAATTTATTTATTATGTAAACTGTTCCTAATTTGACTAAATTTTGAATTTTTCTGCACCCAGAAAAATTTGTCTGCAGGATGAAATACAAAATAAGATACTCCTATAAACTTTAGTTTCTCCATTTATTTTTATAATAAAGTAAAAGTCGCAATCGAGCTTTATAGTGCGTGCAAAAATAGCATCTAAGTCATCCATGTCATTTATAAAGAGTTCGACGAAAGTGATATTTAAGTAATCGTCTTTAATCTAATCGCATCAATTATGAGAGAGATGATTACTCACCGGGCGAAGGCCGCATGCATATAAAGCCGCCGCTATAGCAAAGGCAGGGACCTCGATGCGCCTGGTAGGCTGGCGCTTCATGGTTGTAGAAAGCGAAATCCGTCTTGCAGGGTAACGAATCGACGCAGATGGTGTTGCAAACAAGTTGCTCGCCCTCACCACAGTGACAGAGTTCTGAGCATTCGGGCTCGTCTTCGCGATAAAGCTGCGCAAGTAGAATAATGTTGCAATTAATACGTTTATCCATCACCGTGCATCTTAACTCTGAGTACAAACTTATTTCTTTTTCGTACACGTGGTTACTACACACAGATCTGGGAGACTCCGCTAATCTTTTCATCATAGAAGTAGAGAAAATTATCACATTGTGATTAATTTTTTTTATTCAATTGTAAATTATCTAAAAAAAGCATCTATTTACTCAGAAGTAATATAAAATCATAATAACTGAAAAACATAACTCTTCTATTTACTAATTCTATAAATAATAAAGATTCGAAATTTCACTGAGGTTTCAGAGACTCCAAAATATACGATATATTTATAGAAACGCTTCCCGCAAATAGAAGGTTGTTATTGAATGAAACTTATCTTTTAATACATCACGTAAGAAATAATATTCTATATTATATGCTTATTTGGGTTATTTAATTTTAAACAAATAACTTGTTTTAATTTTAACATTTCATCATTATAACTTTGCATTATGTAAAACTATGTTGTAAGTATGTAGACATAATAATAAAAAAGCAGAGATCTTTCGTCTACATTTCATTTTTTGGTGTAACTTTTTAATAAATCTTCTATGAATCTTACGTAACATTTTTTTCTTATCGTTAACTATATATAGAATATACTGATGCTGTTTAACTGTTAAAATTTGGACTCTGTACATAATATTAAAATTTAGCATCTAAATATATTTACATTCTAACAGTTACGCTTCACATTTGCTTCAAATAGCGACCTTCATTTAATTCATCGACAAACTTATTACAGTAAAATTCAGTAAAGATATATCGAAATAATATTGACATGTTTGTTTTTTGATACAATCAATTAAAGATCTTTTGTTTTAAGAGTTGATGAAATAATTTCTCATTAATAAGAAAAGCTAAAGGGACACCGTCGTGCGATGTCGAGAAGAAATTGCGGGCGATTTTCGCGTTTCTTCCCTCTACCTTTTCTTTAGGGTAAAAATTCGCTAGTGTGCAGTAAATATCCGATTTCCGCTGACACCCTCGCCCACGCTTTCCGGTATGACGTTCACAAAACCCTCGCTTCCTCTTTTTTTTGTTTCTCGCGAGCGTCGGCTCTCGAGGGTGGCGGCGGCGGGTGCTTTGCGTCGCGACGGCGATCGCGAGAGACTTGGGAGATTGCGAGCGACTCACCCTTTTGCCCTTGCCTTCCCTTATGTATTGCTGACTGTGTCTCGGCCTTTGAACCACGCAGAAGCCTATACAAAGAGAGTGACGTGAGAAGCTGTCTTTTTTGCCATTGCAGTTTATTTCTCCGGTCCTTTATCAACCTCTTTTTCCAACGTATCTCACCCAGAGGCGATCTATCTAATTTGCTTCTCGATGCGGCAGACGAAAGAGAGATTAAAAAATCTTCTTTTTCTCTAGACTACCGGTACGCGGAGTTTTATTTATAAAAAAGAAACGTTGTTTGCTTAGATTAAAAAGTATGAATCTATAAGATGTAACAAACAGTAATAATTAGAAATAAAAATTTCAAAATTTAATGATCTATTTTGAAAATCGCTTAATAGAAATAAAATTGAAAGATTGGCGCTATGGAAATATGACAATATAAATGAAACTTGGCACCGCAATAAAATTTAACAACAGTAAACCTTAAAAAATTTAACGATAAATATAATTTTCAGCATTAAATATATAATAACTAATCAAGCTCCAGAGGAAATTGCTGTTACAGTAGAATCTACGAGGAACAAATTTTTTTTATCACGTATAAAATGTATTTCAGAGTTTAATTTGTAAGGATCGTTTATATTTTAGTATTAGTCGTTTCAATATTTCCGCACTCCTATATAAAAGTGAACTAAAAGAGTAATCAGTAACTAAAATTTGCCAGAGCGGAATGCCCGAGGAGAATCAGGTCAATTATATTATGTGGGAAACTAATAATCATTAAACACGCTTAGACTCCACTCACGCGGCGTCGGCGTGGTGGTTGTGGTGGTGCTCGGAGTGGTGCTTATAGTGGTGGTTGTGATTTCCCAAGTTTCCGTGGGTTCGGTAGTCGGCCACCTCGTCACTTCCGGTATTTGATTATCTTCCACTTGTTCGACCGCGGTGGTCGCCGTCGTGGTCGCCGGTGACCTCGTCGTTGACGCGACGGCCGCCGTTGTTGTCGTTGTCTTGGCCGTCGTCGTACGCGAATGATGGTGTTTCCTGCGCGCGTGGTAGTCCTTCTGCGACTCCACTGTAATCACCGATATAACACTCTCGAAACGATGCAAAAACGAAAGCGATTGGGAAATTGTATAGGTATCGAAAAGCGATATCAGGACTAACGGAAATCTGTCGCAGATTTTGTGCATCGTTAGAACTTTGCTGGTATAATGGAATAGGGGGATACGGGGAGCACATAATTCTCCAATAAAATGCGAAATATTTTTCATTTTTTACCGTAACATTTATTATTTCGCGAGTACCCAATGCAAAACTTCTCTGCTGCAGAAACACTTTGCTGAGAATTATTCACGATTCTATGTTTTATGATTACCTCGTGCCGCGGGATGCCTCCCCCCTCCCCCCCCCCACCGTGCTTTCACTTTCTGTCATAAGTTATGACATTTCACGGCACAATAATAAGAACGAAAAACTACCGGCTCGAATCGGCATCGTCGCCTCGGAAGTAACTTCGGGGTCTTAATACTTTCTCCCTCGCTTCACGCGTTGCGCGCCAGGAAACGGACGTGTGGCCGCAAATAACAACCGCTAAGCAATATAAAGTGCCGAACGGAGAGCCTGTAAAATTGCAGTTGAATGTACACGTGTAGTCATCCGACGCGGAAGTATGAAAGTATCGGGAAAGTCGCCCGGTCCCGTATCGCCAGCGGCGCAGCTGCTGCGAAATATTTCAGCCACCGAGAGGCTCCGGGGTGATTACACTTTCAAGGGGCACCGCGCGCCTCTCCTCTCGCGGGACGCGTACAGCAATAATAGGGAACGTAAGATGCGCGTAATAATATTTTACGAGCTGCAGCGGCCACCTGCAACTTTTATTTCCGCGAAATAGATTATATTTATCAACATTTGTAAATGCGCGACGCGAAACGGCGATGACCTTTGGCTCTTTATTTTATCTCATTTTACTTTTTGAAAAGTAAATTGTACATACTTGTCAAGAATATCTGCAACAATATCTTAAGGATTTTACCGATCGTTTTATACCAAATTATTAAACAGAAAAGATAGGATTTTTATGTTTCATTTTTAACGTTTATCATATAAAAAATGTCTATAAACGATTGATTAAATAATTCCTCATATCTGGAGCAATTTAAAAAAGAATAATGTAATCGGAGAAAAAGGCAAAGTTTGCGACCTATGCGCAACTACATGGCAATGCCAAGCGCAGAATTGCAATTACACCGGTCGAACAAACGACACAGGTTGGCTCTTATCGATCCTTCCCGACCCCGTCGAGTTGTAAAGCATGGCGAATGCAATGGACTGCATTCAGTCGGTAGATAAGTCATTTAGATACGAAGAAATTGCATCTCCTACTGCGTTTTAGAAGTGCATCATGCCAAGCGCATCGGCAAAGCTTCATAGAGCTTTGTCTGTTCCATGCTAATTATGCGCTGTAATGTTTATATATACGGTGACCCGGCAGAATAGAAATTAGCGCGGGTAAATTCTCTAGCAATTTTACAGTCAACTTTTTGCAATTTTCTAATTTATCATTGTTGAACACTTTAAATTAAAAGTTGAATTTATTTGCAATTAAGTTGAAGTAATATTAATTTTAAAAAAACTCTAGTTACAATTACCTACTTTTTTGTATTTTAATTGTTTTTACAATTTTCAACATTAGAGATAACTTACATACAAATCTTAGCTTGAATTTAGATTGTATTAAGAAAATTAAACTTAAACTTACAATTAGTAAAGAATAGCTTAATATTAATATTAATATAATAGAGATTTGTATTTTATTCTTTTAAATCGATATTCGCATCTATTAAAGCGTTTGAAGCTTCTTTTCCGCGATTCTGACTGGTTTTCTCATTGTGCTTACTTCGCGAACAGTTGTCATCATGACATGCTGTCATTGTGATAATTGTGCGTAACTATAAGGGTTAATATTAATAGTATATTATTGTAATACAATGTAATGCATTTAAACAAGTAGAAAGGAAAGAATGAAAAGCGCACGCGAAGGACGCGTCTGTGATGTCTAGTTAGATAATATTTTATATTGTTCATACAACAGTTCGCATTTTCAGCAGATCATAACAAATAATTATATCCTTTATAAGCAATAAATAAATGTGAAATACATTCATTGCGAGATGCCGTTAAATGAAAAACGAAACACCGTCACGTCGTTTTTCACGCTGATGGAATCGTGAGATAAATATTTACGAAGACTGGTCAAAACATTGGAACAGTATATCATCAGACTATATTAATTAACATTCCAATACCAGATAGTGTGCAGCTTGCGATTATTTTTATTTAATCCAGATGATTCGATATCGGTTTCGGGATTATCACGTTTCACCCAAAGTGTACTAGCTATTCCCAAAGTAGGTTAATTGTTTAAAGAATAATAGTTATTTCTCTTGTAGACATTCTACATTTTCATTCTCACAAAACGTATCCACAATGTCATTTTATTTTATCGTATATTTGTATTGTATTTTCATAAAGTTGAATTTTACAATAACTTTGCTTGTTTATCCTTGGATACATACATACACATATACATATGGGCCATTCCACGTGAAGCGGATCAGTCATCTCTCAGAAATTTTTCTAATTTTGCACAAAGGTAGTACTTTGGGAGATAGAATTTTGTGCCAAAGGATTTTTTTCTTATTGCAAAATTAATCGAGATATAAACAATTAAAAATTAGACTGCTTTATTTTCAAAAATTCATAGCTCTGTTAATAATAATGCTAGCTA